AAAGCTTGCTCCGGTGTTTTGGGTCGTTGTCTTCCTGAAAGATCCAGTCCTCGTTTTTTTTATGAAGCATCGTTCAGCAGTCGGCAACAAACACTTCTCATAAATTTTAAGCATTAAGGTTGGGTTCCGTTTAAACAAATTCACAAGTTTTTTTTTCATATTCGGCGTCACTTTGCCTATCGAGCCACGTTCTGGCAAGTCATCGACATTTTTTATCTTCTTATATTGCTGAACCCACTTAGCGACGAATGATTTTGACTTTTCCGTGTATTTAGCAGCCACTGCATATGACATTTTTGGTCCTTTGGGGTGGGAACAAAGGAACACTGCCCGTAGCGCGATGCGTATGCGGCACTCTTGGCGATTAACGTGTTTCTCAGGTTAGAGTTCGACGCCAACTGAATCTTTTGTGACAAAGCATTCACGACAAAGATTTCATCTATCGGCTCACAAAAAACTAGGACGATATTTGAAGCCAACTGCCATTTATGCCGTACACGCTCTTACTTTATAGACTGTAAGTGGCATATCGGCATAATTATAATAATATCGGCGACAACGCGATGTTTAAGTTCATTTGCGGACAAACTAAAAAACATGACATTTATAATTTAATATTTTTCCTCGCGATACCCAAACGTTGAGATTATGCCAACTCTTGTATTCTTGTGCTCTGCAATATCCTATCTTTTTTTAAGTGCAAAGCGGACAATGCATAAGGTGTCGCGATCGTCGGTGCGCAAGCGGGAGAACATACGCTGTTCGAAAGCCAAAAATACGCCGAACGTTGCGTATGGCTATACAAATTTCATTATCCGATTTCTGCTGTTTACGAAATAGCAATTTATCGACACGCCGGTAAACCGAGTATAAATCGAAGCCGGCATTGCTCGCCGGTCACCATAGGAAGTCGATGTTTGGTAATTCCAACGGCGTGGAAGGGACACGGGGGTTTTCATGAATATTTATTAAATTATAGTTATCTGAATTTTTTCTGCCTCTACCTAAAATATAAATAAAGTATAAAAATGTGCGTGAAACCACGAGCAAGTGTATGCATGTTTCTCGTCTCGTGCGATCGTTCGTATATATTTTCATCAGTATCATAATTTGCAATAGAGATAAAAAGAGAGAAAGAGAGAGGGAGTGAGGAAAGAAAGGAATATTGAAACAACTCGTAAATATTTAATCGGATTGCTGATTATTTTAACTGACATTTATTTCGTTTAGATATACCTCAATGCATCAATCTAACTGCGCTTAACAAGCGCGAGTACGAACGTGCACGTGAGCATGCGTGCGCGAGTGTGTTTATTAGTTTACTCGTGCTTTTTCAATATTTAGCGCGTGGCAAATTATTAGTACGGTAATGCAATTAACGGGTAACGCCGAAATTGCTTATGAATATATTTTTAACGACCGCGATGTAAATGTTACTGTTTAAAATAAATTTAGCGCCCGTGATATAAACTGTTTCGTCGTGTTCGCTGTAACGTCCTATTTTTCGTCTGATTTCGCAGTACGAAGCTAATGAAATATATAACAAAACGGCACATATACGCCGAAATATTTATCTTGCCGAATTGTTTTATGATCGTGATTTCTTTCCCGTTGTCAGGTCGGTGACAAACAAAAGCCCTCCCCTCTTCCTATCTTCCTTGTTCTCTCACTGCTCTCTTCTTCTTCACTTTCCTTCCTCGAGGAAACGAGACCGATAAAATCCGCGTTTGCGCGAATTTTAAGAAGGGAATACGCATTAATTCCTTTCTCATTAGCGAGTAATAAATCCAATAGCGTATAAATTTTTCCGAGACCTCGTTTTACCTAGTTGAAATTCATCCGTTTAATTGCAGCTCCACACACACACATTGCATTTTTCATCGCTTCGCCGTTTAATTATTCCGCCAATGGCATACACATATATGGAAATACATGGGGCATCAATTAATTTATCGATGCCAATTTATTCGGCGATAATAATAAATATCGATTGCATTAAGGACGCGTCGCGAGCGCGGAGATCATTAATGATTCATGTACAGTGGGAGCCGCTCCTCTCGTGCTCGTCCGGACCACCGCGGCGGCGCGGCGCGGCAGAATCGATGTATTTGACAACCAACACCCGATTTGCGAAAACAGTAATTTCAGAATCTCCGTTCTCGCGAGCATAAGCGCGCGTGCGCACCTGCGGTGGGTTCTCGAAATTACGAAACGCGATGCACGCGCTCTCTCCATTTCCACCTGGAATAATTCATCCGAGGGTAATCGTTAAGGGTGAACTGCGCGCGTAAATTCAGCCGTAACCGGACGCCGAACAGAGAGCGCGTTTCGCGTTATGTTTGATACGCCGCCGGCGAAACCGCCCTGCCCCGCCGCCGACCACGCCACTGTGCCCTGTCCATTTTCGGGCTCGGGGACATTGAAAGAAGCACCCGCCGCTCGCGTCATGCTCCGCTGAAATAGCCCGCGTGAATAGCCTCCCGTTCTCCCTCATCGAGGTCGGTTTTCGCTGTGGAAATAAAGCGAGGAGGCGCGGAATGCGTCCAACGGACCGACCGACCGACCGACCGACCGACCGACCGACCGACCGACCGCTCGCGCTCGACGGATCCTGACTGTAACGGCTCGCCCGGAGATACACTTGAGGACGCGAAGGGGGCGAGGATGGGCGCGTGTGAAACGCCGCTCGGGCCATTTTCCTCATCTTTTCGCGAAGTGACGTCGTCCCCTTCGTAGATGGGGAATAAAGGAAAACACAACGGCGCTTTCTTCCAACCGTGTCGACAGTTACGATAACACGGCGACGGCCTCTCTCCGGCGCTAGGATTCCGAGGTAAGGACGAAGGAAAGCATCGGAAGTACGAGAACGACGATGATGACGGCGGAGGCGGCGGCGGCGGCGGCGGCGGCGGCGGGGGCGGTGGTGGCGAAATGCTTGCGAAAATAACGTCCCTAAAACGTGTCTAAGACGCAGGGCTCTCTCTTCCATTTTCAGGGGAATAGTATTTCACGAGACAATATGCACGCGCTCGACTGCGGTGTTTAATTAAAGGTGTAGCCCCCCTCATTCGCTGAGCACAGCGCAAATGAGACAAGGACGAGAATGACGCTCGCGAAGATTTTCGCTCTTCTCCGTCTTGCGTCTCCTCCGTGCCGGAGGTCGGCCGCTTCATCGCCGTTGACCGCGTCGGCGTTGATCGCGTCAGCAAAGCATATTGTAAGATATAGATTATTTAGCGCATCTCTCGATCTCTCGAAAATGCGTACGGGTAAATAGGCTCCGATGTACAGAGACACCTATTTAGGATATAAATACTGCCGGAAAGAGAGAGTAGTAGTCTCTTCTCTCTTCGGCAACGGCAAGTCAAGTGTGCGAAACTCACTAAGTGAACTTCGAAGCAATCCACGAATGCATTACTGGTATGGTTTTGATTGTGTTAAACATAGGTAGTGACTCTTTCTGACGCATCGTGGTACCTACTAATTTCGATCGAACTATTACTAATCGGCGGGTGTCGATCTATGCAATCAGTACCGTCTTCTCTTCTCATCATTTCGATATCTTACCACTGCAAGTCTCACGAGTTTCGAAGATCATTACAGGTGATGACTCTTCTGTAAAGTTTCATTTACATTTAACATGTTAGAGTATTAAAGAGAGTGTGTGGTTATAAAGAAACGTCTCTTATTAAAAAGCTGCATAAGATTCCTCATTCACACAGGTAAACTTCCTATTTAAAATACGAAATAACGCTCGGTACATCCTACAATACTTCAGAAGTGGGATTAGCGATCACGCGTTCGCGACCTGACTCGCTGTTTCGTGTGTCACTGCGCGGTGCTCACTCGCACGGGTGCCCTTGATCGATCACATGAATTGTGTGTTTATTTTGCACGAAACTGTGTTCATATACGGATTTGTAGTGCGGGGCACGTTACGACAAGGACTGATTCTGTGTGCGAGGAAAAAGACAAAGACAGTAGCACGAGCGGTTAACGTGTTAGTGAGTCGTGACAGAAACAGACATTGGGATAGTGTCGGAACTGGCAGTGTGTTCTCTCTTAAAACGTGCCGGGGAATAACAGTACAAATTCACTATTATCGATATTACGGATAGTTCGCCGTACAGTGTTTATTTCACTGTATCGTACAAAAATGGAACGGAAAGCACTTGATAAGATGTCGTTGGAGCAGTTACAAAAGGAGGCAGAAAAAGCTCAGCTTCAGACCGCATCCTCAAATTTATGGGACGTCATCATGGAATAATCCTTATTAAATCATTGGGAACGACAGGGAATGCTTGGTCGGGCCGTTTACGCACAAAGTCGGTTTCCGCATCTTCCTCGCATCACCCGCCGGAGCAGCGACCCACGGCAGCAGATTGTTTCACAAACTGTCACTTTTCCTTCTATGATTCCACATGAGACGCCACAACCAGCGGTTTCCCCGCAAACGATTACGATGTCAGCTGATTCGAATCCTGGCCAGGCGGCGATGAGTAGCATGCTTAAGCAGATGATGGCCGCGGTGACGCAATGCATGTGACCAACAACAGCAGTTCGTGCAACAACAGCAAGCGGTTATGCAGCACCAGCAGCAAGTATTGCAGCAATTATTTCTACACGCGAATCCAGGTAACCGGCAGTCTTTTATTTCTCCAACTGCCGGCAGCTCAGTATCGGCAGACTTAGAATCGCCACCGAGTCAATCAGTTTTACAGTCGACAGGAACGGCTTTGCCGACAAGTGAAAAGGCGAATCATCCAACCCTTTCGACAGTGGCATCCTTTAACGCTATTTGTGTCTATTTTAGCGTCGCAAATCCCGGAATTCTCAGACTCCGAGCGAGAAAATGTGGATCTATGGGCCCGAAGGGTTGATCAAATGGCTAGCATCCACAACGCAGCAGACAACATTGTACTATTAGCCGCTTCTTCTGAGCTCACCAAAGACGCTCGACGATGGTATGACATTTAAGCTGGACCCGACTCGGTCTGCAGTCGTGGCAGGGTCTGCGCTTCGAGCTGTCAAAAATGTTTGGCAGACGTCTTCCGTTTCACCTGATGATGCAGCAAGCGGAGGCTCGTAAGTGGTTACACTCCAAGGAATCATTCGATCAATATGCGATTGACAAGCTCACATTATTACACGGACTCGACCTCCCAGAGATGTACGTCATCGACTTGTTGATTGGTGGAATTTCTATTAGCTCTCTTTGTGCTACGGCTCTAGCAATTCCGGTAACAACGGTAGAATAGTTTTTATCAAAAATGCGTGTAGTCACGAAAGGTATTGCTCGTTTTGAGAAATTTCCGTCGAATAGACTTCCTAATCCTAAGGTTTTGCAGTGTACCAATTGTAACAGAAAGGGTCATGTAGCGAAAGACTGTCGTAGCTCGACGGTGATCATATTGCTCGACGTGTGCATATTGTCATAATAAAGGCCACAGCAAAACGGATTGTCGCAGACTCAAATATCGGCAGCAGTTCCAGTCGCAACAATCGAAGACATCAACATCCAGAGGACCATTTTCGACCTTCCAACAACGTCGCAGGGATCGACACAAGTAATAGCGACTATAACAGACGAAGAATCGAGTAGTCTCGAAGTCAGCAGCCCGTTGGTGAGAGTAACGGAATTTAATAATATTCAATGTGACTTATAAGCGTTGATCGACACAGGTAGCCCAGTCTCGTTTGCATCTGACCGAATATGTGTACTTGTTTCTATCGAAAAGCTATTGAAGATTTGTGTCCTGCAAACAAAACTTTTAAATCATTAACAGGCAAATCGATTGAAGTCCTAGGAATCGTAATTACTAACAGTAGAATAAAACCATTAGCGAATAGAAAATTAAGACTGAAGTTACACATTGTAAATACAAATGATTCTGGAGCCGATATAATTATAGGCAGAGATGTACTTACTCAGCAGAGACTTAGCTTTTTACTACATGGGCTGAAAAGTCTTTGGCTTAACAATGAAAAAACGATTTTTTTAATGAAAAAAGTGTTTTATTCCTCGACATAATCTCCATTTAGAGTAATGCACTTAGTGTAACGGTCCGCTAACATTTCGATGCCGGTCTTATAGTGCTCGGTGTCAAGTCCCTCAAAATAGGCATTTGTTTCCAACTTGACCTCTTCATTCGAGTAAAATCTTTTACCAGCGAGCCACTGCTTCAGTCGGGGAAAAAGGAAATAGTCGCTGGGGGCTAGGTCTGGAGAATACGGGGGATGCGGGACCAATTCATTGCGCAATTTCTTTAATTTATCGGTCGTATCGCGAGCCGAGTGAGCTGGAGCATTGTCTTGGTGAAACAAAATTTTTTTCTTTGCCAAATGTGGCCGTTTGACCTTGACCTCGTCGTCCAATCGATCCAGTAATGTACAGTAATATTCTTTATTGATAGTTTTACCATGTTCAAGATAATCAATGAATATTATGTTATGCGCATCCCAAAAAATACTGGCCAAAACCTTGCCGGCTGATTGTTGTGTCTTCGGGCGCTTCGGACGGCTTTCACCAGGCAATAACCACTCCGCTGACTGCCGATTGGACTCCGGTGTGTAGTGATGGATCCATGTTTCATCCATTGTGACAAATCGACGCAAAAACTCCTTCTTATTGCGGTTAAACAGGGCCAGATTTTGCTTTGAAAGTCGAACACGTTCCGCTTTTTGCTCAATTGTCAAAAAACGCGGCACCCAACGCGCGCAAAGCTTTTTCATGTGTAAATATTCATGAATGATATGACCAACGTGTTCCTTTGAGATGCCTATGATGTTAGCTAGCTCACTCAATTTCATTTTGCGGTCATTCAACACGATTTCACTGATTTTCTGGATGTTTTCTGGAGTAACTGCCTCATTTGGCCTTCCTGAACGTGATGCATCATTTGTGCTCGTACGGTTACGACGAAACTCAGCAAACCAATATTTGATGGTTGAATTCGGTGGGGCAGATGTGCCGTAACATTTATCAAGCCATGCCTTTGCTTCAACAGTGTTTTTTCCCATCAGGAAGCAATGTTTAATCAAAACACGAAATTCACTTTTTTCCATAGTAAAGATAAATTCAGAGGTAACGTCACTTCGAAAGCTATAACTTGTACACGAGTCAACGAAATATCATGAAATTTTTACAGCATCTAAGTTAAGGTTGGTACTCTATAGGAAATATAAGGATTTTTAGTTTGTGGCGCCATCTATATGTCAGGCCAAAGACTTTTCAGCCCATGTAGTACTCCAGTCATCGAAGTCAGTAGATATCGAGAATTTGCAGAGTTTTGTAGAGATTTATTACAAATTGACCCTAATTTGCAACAGGATAACTTCGAGGAAATTCTCCTGTCAGCAGTCGGGGATGTTAAACACGAAATAAAAGAGAAACTCGTTAATTTAATAAAACAAATTGAGAATACCAATGATGAATTGGTGGATGATAATTATTCGGTTCAAATACAATTAAAAGATCATTCTGCTTTTGCTTTTGCTCCGAGGAAATTCGCGTTTAAAGAACATGAACAAGTCAGAGAAATAACTGATGACTTACTTCGTCGCGGAATAATCCAAGCTAGCGTTTCTCCTTATTGCTCAAGAGTTGCCCCAGTCAGGAAGAAAAACGGCTCTTTGTGTTTGTGCGTTGATTTACGTTCACTCAATAGTAGAGTATCAAAACAGAAATATCCATTTCCTCTGATCGAAGATTGCCTATCGCGCCTAGCAAATAAATCTGTCTTCACCTTACTCGATTTGAAGGACGGGTTTCACCAAATTAAAGTTCATCCTAACAGCACAAAATTCTTTTCTTTTGCCACGTCGGACGGGTAATTCGAGTATAATCGTTTGCCATTTGGTTACTGTGAAGCACCGGCAGAATTCCAAAAAGAATCGTGCAAGTTTTACAGCCTCTTATCCGCGAGGATAAAGTTATAGCATATATCGATGATATCATGATCTCTTCTATTTCGACTGAAACAAATTTACAAATTCTCCGTGAAGTACTTACTTTATTAAAGAAATATGGCTTCGCATTAAATTACAAAAAATGTCTCTTTTTAAAATCACAAATTGAATTTCTAAGATATGTAATATCGTCGCAAGGCATTACAATCAGCTCAAGACACACTGAATCAATCAAATCGTTTCCCAAACCAAAAACGGTCCACGAATTACAGAGTTTTTTGGGTCTCACTAATTATTTTAGGAAATTTATAAAAGATTATGCCCTTAAGGCCAAACCTTTGTCGGATTTATTAAAAAAAGCGGTTACATTTAATATCGATAGTTAGTGCAATAATGCATTCGATCAGTTGAAGTCGGAGCTAGTCTCGTATCCAGTTCTAAGGCACTTTAACCCCGCAGCTGAAACTGAATTGCACATGGATGCAAGTTCGCTAGGATTGAGTGCAATATTATTGTAGAAGCAATCCACGGGTCAATGGGCGCCGATAGCTTACTATAGTCAAGTGACTAATCAAGCCGAACAAAAATATTACAGTTTTGAACTTGAGATGTTGGCCATTGTAAAGGCTATTCAACGCTTTCACATATATCTTTACGGCGTTGCTTTTACAATAGTCACGGATTGTAACGCGATTGTTTATGCGATTAATAAGGCGAATTTAAATCCGCGCATAGCAAGGTAGACTTTGCAATTGCAGAATTACACTTTCAAAATAACTCATCGACCAGGGAAAAGAATGGCTCATGTTGACGCCTTGAGCAGACGGGTTTTTATCTCGAATCCTTTCCGTTGGAAAGAGAGTTGGAATTCAAACAGCTGCAGGATCCAAACTTGAAAGAAATTGCTAACCAGCTCGAATTTTCAGATTCCGACAGATTCGAATTGATTGACGGATTAGTATATCGGAAGGATATCGATCGATCTCGCTTCGTAATTCCAGACTCGATGGTAAACAACGTGATTCGGATACACCACCATCAAATGGCTCATTGCGGTATGGAAAAAACATACCAAGGTATTTATAAATCATATTGGTTCTCATCGATGAGGAAGCGGATCAGAGATCACATCGACGATTGTGTGACGTGTCTGTTGGCTGATACTACGAGTAACTCCAAAGAAGGCGAAATGCAGATTTCCCAGATCGCGTCTTATCCGTTTGAAATTTTGCATCTGGATCACTTCGGTCCACTGCAACAAACGCACGATGGTTATAGGTATGTTCTAGTGGTGGTAGATGCGCTTAGTAGATTTACCTGGTTGTTTCCTACTCGATCAACAGGATCTAAAGAAGTGTGTGATTGGCTATATTGGTTATTTAATATTTTCGGTGCTCCTTCGCTCCTAGTATCATACAGAGGCATTGCATTTACATCGCGTGAATTTTCTGACCTTCTTAAAGCCTATGATACTCGACACCAATTAGTTGCGGTAGCATCACCGTGGGCAAACGATATTGCCGAATGTGTAAATCGCTTCTTGAAATCCTCGTTATCTAAAATGATAAACGATGCTACTCAGTGGAAACAAAACCTGGGAAGACTGCAATACGTCATTAACAATACGCATCATGCGGTTATCAAAACAACCCCAAGTAAAGTTCTTCTGGGTTATGACAAAAAGAATCATTCTGATTACGATCTAAGCGAATTGGTTAATATATTAGCTAATATTGATGCTGATGTCGAGCGAACAAGAAACGAATCCCGAGACATAGCCTTGGAAGCTATAGAGAAAATAAAAAATTATAATAAGACTCTCTACGATAAGCGGCACAAAACCCCTACGCGGTACAAAGAAGGAGACTATGTGTTAGTAAGGGATGCGCGATCGAAACCAGGCGTCCATAGGAAATTAAACTTAAAATACAAGGATCCTTACCAGGTGGCCAAAGTATTGGACAAGAATAGATACGTCGTCCAGGACATACCCGGATTTAATATTACATCCAGACCGCTTAATACTATCTTGTCATCAGATAAATTAAAACCCTGGGTAAAACCCATTCCGCCGCGAAAAGATGTTTTACCTGAAAAGGAAAATAATACATAAGATAATACTATATATTACTATTTGCGTTATAATACTATATATTACTATTTGCGTTATGATACTATATATTTCTTTTTGCGTTTTTACTCACCGTTTTGTTTTGTATCACATCACAGCGTCGCGTGAGATTGATCTTCGTGTAACGATATTTCACTCTTGTAGCGAACATATTTGTTAATCTTCAACTCATTAGACATCCGAGTCGTATGTCTTATCAGGACAGTCGAGTTGTAAGATATAAATCATATGGCGACATCTCTCGATGTGAAAATGCGTATAGGTAAATAGGCTCCGATGTACAGAGACACCTATTTAGGATATAAATACTGCCGGGAAGAGAGAGTAGTCTCTTCTCTCTTCGGCAGCGGCAAGTCAAGTGTGCGAAATTCACTAAGCGAACTTCGAAGCAATCCACGAATGCATTACTGGTATGGTTTTGATTGTGTTAAACATAGGTAGTGACTCTTTCTGACGCATCGTGGTACCTACT